ACGTTTACCACTGCAGAAGTGAGTTGTTCTTTCCTTATTTCCAGTCATCACATGGAAGATAACATCACGTCAGAGTCAGGTGAGTTGGATAACCGTTTTAGCGTTCGGGACGAACTTCTCCGAGGAAGGGGGCAATGTTACGGTCCAGGCGATTCCAGTCTTTCGCACGTCGTTTCCGACTGAGAGTGTCAAAAAATGAGACCAGCTCCCTTGTAGAGTTCACGCCCGAAACACATTTATATAACAATGTCATACATTACCATGTATCACAATATAATGCCCGATATCCATCTTGTCCTTTTCACATAATTATGTTTATAACATTCCCGTTAGGCCGATGAATTGACACAAATCAGTTAGCGAAACAAGCGACATCAAACAGCCGGCGGCCATGACACTTTGGCGCGGTCAAGGCTACAACGTCGTCATTGTTAGTAACGCTCGCATTGATTGGTCGACAACTGACGTCATCGGAATCCCCTTATAAATAGAAGCAGACGACAAGGAAATCCTCAGTGGACACTCGGTGCACTCGGGAAAGCTCCTTACGTAATTGGCAGCAATCTAGCTATTTTAAATTGGATATGGATCACCAAAAATGGGTAAGGAATTAATATCCTAGCTTTAGCTGTGATAATTTATCCATAACTGGTCTCCTATTTAAAGACTCATAGGTTGGTTTAACCTTGACTGGCTTTATCCAAGATAGGCCTAGATAGTTGTGGTTCACCCATTCCCCCAAGGCCAAGTCTTACCAATTCCTTATGTCACCAAATCTCCGATTTAATCCCGTCATATCCACCGGCCTGACAGGGCAAATGTATTTATTTACCTAATTCCTGTTTCCATACCTGGGAATTTATCCAAAGGGTTGGCGTCTCACCCAAATTATCTCCCCTTAATGCGATGTATCCCAATTATAAATTGATCCAAATAAAGATGTTTATTTTTATCTACACCCGAGTTTGTTAGTTCTTTCGATTGAAGTGCTAGGCTGGAACGAACCCCTAAAAAGTCTCTAATAAATGTTGAGACGCTACAGGGGGTTGTAGGAATCAAATTACCCTCTAGAGGTTTAAGACAATTGTAGAGCGCCACTAGCAAAAGCCATTATTAAAATATTATTAAAGAAATCAAACATGGATCCAGATATTCTGTATATCTATAGAGCTCATACGATGGCATACGCTATACAGTGTGCTATGAGGGAAATTTTGCCCGGACAGCGGCACTACGGCCTACTCTTATATCCAATTCCAACTGCCAAGGGATCTTTTACGTGCACGTCAATGTGTACACAGGACCTCCGTTTTTCGTCCCATCTGAATAACGAGACAACTGTCCTTGTCAGGCCCTCCATCCTGCATCACTGACAAGGGGAAACCATGCCGAAAAATCTAAATGAACTTTTTCGAACACCCGATCTCCAGGCTAGCGAGCCAGCGTCTTACCCACTTAGCCACGTGATCCCCCCACTCTAGTTGACTCAATGACAAACCTTATGATACAGTGTGCATGTGCTAACCATTCCGCCCCCTCCCCAACTCCCAAAGGTGGTGCAGTGCAGAACAGAAAGAAGGACATTAAACCCCATTTCATTTATTTGAGTGATCTTCACCAATCTGTGAAAATTAATGTTTTTCATTCAGATCCTATACCAGTTCAATTGGGTGTTCCACAAGGCTAGATTCTTGTACCAAGATAATAATACAGGACCTTCTCTGGTTTTCACAATTTTTGAATTAGACATTAATACTTACTAAACCACACAAAATATTGTTGATAATATCTTAGCTGAACATGTGGATAACAGAGAGCCAGAGGCATCCAGGTCCAATTATTCAAACCTACTTCGATACTGCAATCGGTTCCAGCAAAAAGAGAGACCAGCAGATCCAACAGATTTATAAAAATGTATTAGTTGATCATGATATAATAAAATGTATCATTTAATAAATTGTTGATGTAATAAATAATAAAATGTATTATTTAATAAATTGTTGATATAATAAATAATTTAACATTATTATTTTTATAAATTGTTGATGTAATAAATTCTTATATAAATTGTTGATGTAATAAATTCTGATATTAATGATTTAATAAATATATTTATTTGTAATGTGGAATGATTGGGTTTTTTAAAGTTGGGATGAGTTGTCTTATAAGTTGGGATGAGTTGTCTTTTGACTTGGGATGAGCTGTCTTCTAACTTGGGATGAGTTGTCTTTTATTGGAATGAGTTATCTGGGATGAGTTGTCTTTTGACTTGGGATGAGCTGTCTTCTAACTTGGGATGAGTTATCTGGGATGAGTTGTCAGGTATTCAACAATCTAATTAAAATACAGATCTATATTTCGTTTCGTTTTTTTATACTTTCGATGGCCTACACTATACATGAAGATCTGACAAGTTATAGCGATAGGTCACTTCAGGGGTCAAAAGACCGACTTTTGACCTATGATGTCAGACATTTGATTAACCAATCAGCATTGATGTTACTAGTGGATTACCCACAGTTCCGGGCAAAAAAGGTCAAACACTCGATTCGACAGACCATTTGATTGGCTGACCCCTCATTTCAAGCAGACACGAGTTAAATAACAAGTCTTCCAGATCCAAGTGTAGTAAAGACAAGTAAAACAAAACGAAATAGGATCTGTGTTTTAACCAGATTGGGTATTCAAGAAAACAGCCTTTCTTCACTATACCATGTTCATTTCTGGAACAATTTAGCATTAGTTGTATATTGCAGGAAGCTGTGGATCTACCCAACACGAATAATTCATAATTTAGAAGAAAGACAAAAAGTAGTTTCATTTTTAAGTGAGCAAACTGATTACAGATACATTATGGGAGATTTAGATACAGAGCTGACAGTTTTCACTATAATCGTTAAAAACTAGATAATAGAAAGATACAGAGCTGACAGTTCTCACTATAATTGTTAAAAACTAGATAATAGAAAGATACAGAGCTGACAGTTCTAACTATAATCGTTAAAAACTAGATAATAGAAAGGGAATATAGTGAAAATTTCAGTCAAATTACTTCATTGTGAGTGGCGTTCGGACTGTTTGGGTTGATGGGTAAAGGGAGAAAAATCAATATATCATTCAGTTGGCAAAATAGTGTCTGAAATCTAATAAAACTGTTTACTGCAAATTTTTACTGATTAAGACATTTGGTCTGGAATTTCATGAGACATTTTTCGTGCATCGATTATTATTTGTGATGTAGCAGCCACAGTGTGATTGGATGGTCGACACAGAGTGGGATTTAGGTTGGACGACTTTGAAGTTCTTTAATTCACAGGATAGAATAGCAGTTCCCCGTACAGCACAAAAACCGTCTTCATGGACATATCAATTTATTGGTTGTTTGGAATTCTATATTGGACCATATTGAGGCTATATTTTGGACCACAGGCTGGATTTGGCGGAAAATGCATTTATGTGGGCGTCAAGTTTTTCAGCCTGCATTTGACACTCTCTAAGAGTTGGATGGTTGTGTGTTATTGTGGTTCGCCTCATATCCCACAGGTCACATACAATTCATTTCATTGCACAAAGTAGGTTTTGTTATCATCTGGTGTTCCCCAGGGATGCGTTCTTGGTCCAATTATATGTAATTCTATGTAATCCATCACCTCTATGCAGATGACAGAAAACTGTGTGATATTTCCAAAATGTAAAGATTTTAAAGTGTTCACCAAAAGTGCTACTTTTATTGAGTGGTTTGGATCCAAACTTATTTGAAATATTTAAATGTTATATATATTTAATTTAAAATTATGTGTAGAAAGCACATAGAGTGTACTTTAAATATATTAATGATATCTGGTGTGGAATCATCACCAGTGGTCTCATTCCATTCCACTCCACTATACCCTTGATTTATCCATGGGGAAGACACATTTTCAAATTACCTGCCCTTGATCATAGCTTGATTCTATGAGCCAATCAAAAAACAGTTTAAAAGCCAGTCTTAGCCTCATTGTTTATGTTCACATCAATATGGCGGCTTGTTTGTTACCTTCCCTTCGCCAGCTTCATTTGTATTTAACAATTTTTTTGATTGGTCGATGTAAATAGCACATTTATCAAGGGCAGGTAATTTGAATATGTACCTCCACCAGGGGTTAGTGGAGTAGAACAGAAGCAGACCAGTGGGGTTACCGAGAATTGGTGCTATACAAATACTCATATTATTATTGTCAGTATATCCATGTTATCTGCACAGAAAAAAAGGTCCAGCAACAATATTGTGAAATAGAGAGAGAGAGAGAGAAATGGGGTTTAATAACCTCCACTTGACACAAACTAGGTCATTTCAGGACTAACACATGGCTCAATTTTATTTCAATAATTTGCTTGCGCGTAGGGGTCTTTATTAGTGGGAGGAAACCAGAGAACCTGGAGAAATCCCACGAGGTTGGACATGCGACCCTACTCCTTGCCACGAACAACCGGGGAATCGGAACCCTGCCAGTTCACTCAATGACAGACTTTATGATACAACGCCCATGTGCTGACCATTCGGCCATCCAACCCCCACAATATTGTGAAATGAAATGACGTGTGACATATTTAACATCATAGGTCACGTCAGGGGTCATACGAGCGGCTTTTGATGTGAGACATTTGATTAAGCAATCAGCATTGATGTTTCTAGAGGGTTACCCACAGTTCTGTGCACCTCACGCCACAAACTCGCCGTAACAGACAGTTTCATTTGCTAATCCCTCACATCATTCAGAACGCGGCTTACATAACAACTCTTCCATGATGTGAATCAGATTGACAGTGTGCAATCGGGGAAATTTTGCCAGAACAGCGGCGCTATGGCTGCCTACTCAAAAATCTAGGTAAAGTAATAAATAATGCTAATAGCAAGCAATTAATAATAATAATAATAATCGCTTTCTATAGTGCTGAACATTCAGTCAGTCTGGCTGCTCTGTGGCGCTTTACATTGTAGATAAGATAATTAAAACCAATCGCACTCAATGTTTTTATTGGATAATTACTACAGTAATTTGCCTGAATTACTACACAGATGGCTACAGCATGTATCAAATAATCTTGTACCATATTAAAGTTGCAATTTCAAATTTTCAAGTTATATTTTTAAAATGTATTAAAATAAAGCCTTAAAATAGATGGTATTCATAAACAGTCCTACCTTGTTAAAGAATAATCCTATTAATCCTATAATTTGCTATTGCCAGCTGAGAAATTGGCAAAAATATCATTTTTAACTTCAAATTCCAACGTTGGAAAATGGCTGCCCCATGTTGTCAATAGCAAAACAGGGGAGGTAATTGTGTTGTTATTTCCTGTGTCATAGATTTTTAATGGTGGGAAATAATACCCATGATCGTATAATAGTGAGTTGATAACCTATTGAGCAAAAGACATAGAAATAATTATGTTTTGACTTTCTTAGAAAATTTGAAATTCTCACTTTAACTACAGATGAATATAGCATACAAAAATATCATTGTATCACATGTCTACAGTATGTATCATATAATATGCTACCATATTAACTACAGATGTTTACAACATGTATCATATAATCTTGTACCATAAACTACTACAATAACTTATACCACAAATACTAACTTTTTGATTTTGTTTTAGTTTTTACAGTGTGAATTCTCAAATGTTTCTGCAGGTGATGATTCTCTGTGAATGATTTCATACAAACATCACATTTATAAGGCTTTTCACCATCATGAATTCTCAAGTGTCTCTGTAGATTACTTTTAGTGTTGAATGATTTACTACAAACATCACATTTAAATGGTTTCTCGCCAGTATGAATTTTTGAGTGTATCTGCAGGAGATGCTTCTTTTTGAATGATTTATCACAAACATCACATTTATAAGGTTTTCCTCCTGTATGAATTCTCATGTGGCTTTGCAGATTACTACTTGTGGTGAATGATTTATTGCAAACATCACATTTATAAGGCCTTTCTCTGGAATGAGTTCTCATGTGTGATTGTAGAGTACTACTCTGGCTAAATGATTTACTACAAACATCACATTTATGAGTCTTTTCTCCAGTGTGAATTCTGAGGTGTTCCTTCAAATGTTGGCTATAGGTGAATGATTTACTACAAACATCACATTTAAAAAGTTTTTCACCGGTATGAATTATCATATGTCTCTGTAGATTACTGCTGTTAGTATATGATTTACTACAAACATCACATTTATAAGGCGTTTCACCAGTATGAATTCTTATGTGTTCCTGTAGATGACTAATTCTAGTAAATGATTTACTACAAACATCACATTTATAAGGTTTTCCTCTGGTTTGCCCTTGCTGACTAACATGTATTTCACAGTGTTTTTCTAAATCTGTTTCTGACTTAAATTCTTCATCACACAAATTACACTGATAAACAGTTTCCCTATCATCAGTTTTCTCTTCTTTAACATGACAATATCCATCTACATCATCAGTTTTCTCTTCTTTAACATGACAGTATTCATCTACATCATCAGTTTTCTCTTCTTTAAAATGACAGTATTCATCTACATCATCAGTTTTCTCTTCTTTAACATGGCAATATCCATCTACATCATCAGTTTTCTCTTCTTTAACATGACAATATTCATCTACATCATCAGTTTTCTCTTCTTTAACATGACAATATTCATCTACATCATCAGTTTTCTCTTTTTTAACATGTATTTTTGTGTGTTTTTCTAAATCATCAAGTTGTTGAAAAATCTCATCACATATTGTACACTGATGAAAAGTTATAACATCATTAGTTTCCTGTAATATATAAAATTTATAACATCATTAGTTTCCTGTAATATATAAAAGTTATAACATCATTAGTTTCCTGTAATATATAACATCATTAATTTCCTGTAATATATAAAAGTTATAACATCATTAGTTTCCTGTAATATATAACATCATTAGTTTCCTGTAATATATAAAAGTTATAACATCATTAGTTTCCTGTAATATATAAAAGTTATAACATCATTAGTTTCCTGTAATATATAAAAGTTATAACATCATTACCAAGTGAAATTTACCAAATGACGCCTCTCATCTCATTTGGTCAATCAATAATTCATTCGCAAATTGCATTGGCTAATCCCTCACATCAACCAGAATGTGGGTTATTTAACAACTCTACCAGATCTTAGTGTAGTAAAGACAAGTAAAACGAAATTTTGAAGTATAAAAATCGAAACGAAATAGAATCTGTGTTTTAATCAGATTGGCAAATAACCCAATGCTACTCAATATTACGATATAGCCTACTACCAAGAATTATCAAATGGTAACCTAATATCATCAAATGGCTGTAAAATTACTGCAACGAATCTGCGATCATTTAAGATAAGGGGAGAGAGCTAAAAATGGGGTTTAACATCCACTCAGCACAAACTAGGTCATTTTGGGACTAACATATGGTTCAATTTTATTTCAAGAATTCGCTTACGCGTACTGGTCTTTAGTAGTGGGAGGAAACCAGAGTATCCGGAGAAAACCCACGAGGTTGGACAGACAACCCTAATCCTTGTCCCGTCCAACCAGGGATTCGAAACCACGCCAGCTGACTCAATGACAGGCCTTATAATACCGTGCGCGCATGTGCTAACCATTCGGCCACCCCCCCCCCCCTTTCAGGTAAGAAAAGAAAGGTATTTTAATCATCAAATATCATTTGATGAGTGTGAAATCAATAAACCTGGCATAAGTCGGATCTTCGCTCAACTCAGATCTTTGCTCAACTCGGATCTTCACTCAACTCGGATCATTGCTCAACTCGGATCTTCGCTCAACTCGGATCTTCGCTCAACTCGGATAAAATCATTTGGACCCTTTGATCCTGCATGTTTTTCTTATTAAATTTCTGTGCGTAAGTCGGATTTCTTAAGTCGGATCTTTGCTCAACTTGGATTAAAATATTCAGTCCATTTGATCTAATTTGGGCTTTTTTCCTTCGCCCAAGTCGGATCGGCAGTGTGTTCAGAATTTGACTAAGTCAGTTTTGTCCCGATGGTCAAAAACGCGGTTAGGTATTCCATGCACAGAGCCCCAAAATACTTTCCACTATGATTTTGACTCAAATCAGCCTATTTAATCATTTTATGGGTGTGAAATTAAATAACACTAAATAATAATTAAAATGTGTACTATATTATTACATAAAATGGCCATCAGGCTGATCATCAGATTAACGATTCAAGTAGGGTCCCTTTCCTAGGGGGAAAATTTACCCCAGAATCAGAAAGAAGCATTTCTATCAAGAAAATGCCACACGAAGTGTGAGCAAATAACACACAATACATGGCTAAGCAGTTCACGCTCAGAATGAAACTGGATGTCCTTTGTCTGTTGACAATATAGTTAGAGGGACATAACTCCGTAAAAGAGACATTTGACATTGTCTCATGTTCACACTATTGCCATGGGTGTCAATCTGTTTCACAGAGGATTACAAAAGTCTTCTCTTAATAGCTCTGTAAAAGATGACTGCCTTCAACACCTGATGTCACATCACATGGCATCAATCATTGGCTTATGTTTACATAAGACGTTACTGGTTTGGGCAAAATGGTGCCTTTTACTCATTTTAATACCCATTTACACTAAATAGGAAATCTTTTTTACCTACAAATACTTCAAACGTCTTCATTTTTCTAATACATAAAAAAAATGTTTTAAAATTTAATTTGTTGGACGAAAAAAGTTAATATTTGTGACTCATTAAGTCACATCCATGTCATCCTTATCAGTGATTGTAGCAGCCAAGCAAAAATTCACTGCTGATGAGTGAGTCATTGTATGACCTACCAAAATGGGTGTAAGTGAAGCCATGACAGTTGGAATTTAAAATAAGAGTAGGATCTTTGTGTCACGATCTGACACTAGCCAAGATTGTGAAGGAATAAAAGATGTTAAAGGAGGCAAGTCTTCGACATTGCAAACACGACTTATTGGTCAATCTACATCAACACTGATGCTGTTATCTTATCGTGAAAAGATTGGCTTCTGGTAAGACAAAATGAAGATTTTAACATGGCACGTGAATCACGAGCCAGAATGATTTCGAGCGACATTTGTAATGAAGTGACTCAAAAAATACGCCATTGGAGAATAACCAGACGCCACAGACTGCCATTCAATCTGAACTCTTGGATTATTTCGCCGAATATAACTGAATAGAAATTACAGTAAAAACTAAACAACTGAATGTAAATTAGCTACGAGAATATAGCTAAAAACGTTGAGATATACTGTGATGTGTTTGTTTTTAGCTACGATTGGATGCCTTTCTTTAGTTCCAAGTGGCAAATTCAATTTCTTTATTAATGCATGTAACATCTTTAAAATAAGATAAGTTTATGCTATTGTGATTAATTAAACTTACAGGGGCCAATGTAGTGGCACAACTATTGCCTAACTCAAAATATTTGCGTTTAAATTAATGAAGCGTTGTTTTTGTCTGACATTTCACCGCCATCGAAATCCATTCATAGTTACTGTGCTTTAGATTGCCATTTTGATTGGCTGTTATAAAAGCCTTATATTTAGCCCCGCCTTCATGATGACAGCGTATCGTTTAAAAAGATGGCGGTCTTAGTAACAGCTTAATGCCTCGATTTTAAAAATGACGATTTGTACCCATTTCAGGTAGGATTATATGCTTAATTGTAGTTGGGTGTGGTAGAAATATTATAAATAACAATAATCAATCGTTGTTTTGATTAAAACTATTGTCAATTTTGTTTACAAATGCCAGGTGTGAATCGCTCCCGCATGTGCTACGTTAAAGGCAATGGCCTCATCTCTTATCTCGAAACACGGAGGGTTGAGAGATTAAGGTTTGTTATCTAAATGTAAATCAGTTTATATACATTCATAATACCGTACATCATTCCATTTCTAAGTGCAAAAGAATAGAGATTTAGCTCCTTTAAACTCCATTTCATTTTGTTTAAAAATCCCACATACCATTATGATGTTATCACCATCAAGTGCTACTGGAGACAATTGTACAGTCTCTTCCTGTCAAATACTTCCGTTCATCCCCGGAACAACTTTGAGATAGTTGTATATTGATACAGGACGTAGATCTAGCCAACCTGAATAACTCAAAAATAAGATAACAGGAGAGAGATCGAGAGAGAGAAATGGGGTTTAATGTCCACTCGACACAAACTAGGTCATTTCGGGACTAACATATGTTTCAATATTATTTCAATAATTCGCTTGCGCGTATGGGACTTTGGCAGTGGGAGGAAACCGTTGGACCCGAAGATAAACCCACGCCAGTTGAGTCAATAACAGGCCTTACGTGTATGATACAGCGTGCACGTGCTAACCATTCGGCCATCCAACACCCCCTCCCTCCCCCTCCACACTAAGCTAAAAGGTCATATTAATATCTCCAGATTTAGTTTCGCGCACCAGTGGTGCAGGATGAAGGACCTAACAAGGACAGTTGTCTAGTCGTTCGGATGTGGATACATTAATTGGCGTGCACGTTAAAGATCCCTTGACAGTTGGAATCCGATTTAAGAGTAGGCCATCGTGACGCTCCCTAATAGCACACTGTATGGCGTGTGTCCGTGTTCATTATAGCCCAGTTTAGGAGAGAACAGTAGGATGTTTAACCCCAGTTCATTTCATGTCAATAGCTAATACCAATGATAAAATTGTCATTCCTCATCCCAATCCACCCATAGACAGAAATGGCATTAGATTCACTGGTGCCCAGTTATGGGATTCCTTACTGACTACATGTATATGAAATATTGTATAATCCTTGAGGCATTTAGTGATTGCATGAGCACATTAAAAAACACAACACAATTTATATCAATACAATCATTGGTTTATACACATATATACAAATATACTTGATAATGATAAGAGAATACTTGTCGAAACGTTGTGCTATATGTGTATAATAAACCAGTGATTGTATTCCATTGTGTTGTGTTGTGTTTTTTTTTAAATATTGTAGATCATTTATTTCAATTTTTGATAAGAAATGAAATGAAATGGAGTTTAAAGTCCTACTGTTCTGCTCCTATACTGGGCTAATGAAGACGGGCATACGCCATACAGTGTGCTATGAGGGAAATTTTGCCCGGGCAGCGGCACTATCGACTACTCTTATATCGAATTCCAACTGCCAGGGGATCTTTTACGTGCATTCCAATATATACACGGGACCTCGGTTTTTCATATCATCCGAAGGACTAGACAGCTGTCCAGGCCCTCCGTCATGCATCACTGACAAGGGGGAACAACCCCGGAAAATCTGGATGAACTTTCTCGGCCAATGCAGGGATCGAACACCCGACCTCCAGGCTAGCGAGCCAGCGTCTTAACCAACTAGCCACGTGATCCCCCAATTTTTGATAAGAGATCTAGTCTAGTTACATTAATTCATAGAACTAAATACTTGATTAATTGTTCTCGGGGTGTGTAGGGCAGTGTGTGGATAAAATGCAAAATTATTATTTTGTGAATTTTTAAATATTCTTTTGTAAATCGTTCTTTACTTTCTTCTTGGAAGCTGACAACCGCGCCAAAGAAAATGCATACATGACGTTTAAGAGTTGTCTGGGTTGATAAGATCCAGCTCTCTAATCAATATACAACCGTACTCCTGCTCTTGGTTCCACAACTCATTTCCGGATCCGCGCTGTACCGGAAATGAACTTCTGAAACAGCAAAATCATTTTCTTCGCTTCGATTTCTTTGTTAAACCGCAACAAAGATAATTTACTTTGCCTGCTGTAGCAGAACTTACATAAAAGAAGAATCATTTGAATAAAATAACAGAGTGTTGTTTAGATTGAAAAGATCCACCACGGACTGTTTGACTATTGACTTGGCTAACAGTAGGAGACCTTTATACACACAAAATAATCATAATAATGGTGAGTATTTTCATAACCTACTGCTACTGTTATCGAAAAGGGAGTGGGTTGTTTCATTATCTAAACATAAATTTTAACAAAATCACTGAGGCCACGAAAAGGCCTCATGTAGTTGTACCGCTCTACTGCACGGTAATAGATTTCTACCACATTTTCAAACAAAGAGTTTTTTTAATTTTCTCGCCAAAACTATGGAACTAAAGGGCAGCAACTCTTTGCATGTAAACAAGGTATCGCGTCATTTGGGACTCACGTCATTTGGGACTCAACATAAACGACATTTGGAACTCAGTTGACGACGTTTGGGACTTGATTGGCGTCAATTGGGACTCAACACAAACGACATTTGGGACTCAATATAAACGACAGTTGGGACTATTTATTTATGAGGTATATAGTAACAGCTGTCTTAGTTGTCTTTCGGTTTATTTAGTTGATCGGCGATTGTTGAGACCGCGATTAACACTGCTCGTTCTCCTTTGTTTTGTTTTATCTGCGAGTATAAAACTTCTCCTTTGTTTTGTTTTATCTGCGAGTATAAAACTTGACAATAATATATTGTTGAAAATTTGTGTATATTTATTAATACTTGGTTGTTTTTCTTTTATCAAATAGTAAACGAGCTTGATTGACCGACCACTGCTAATGTTTTTTCGTGAAACGGCATAACTGCAATCAACACACTGTCGCCATTCTCGATGATTGACAACTCACGTTTTTCCTCATCCACCAAAGAACCGTTAATCAGCTTTAATTATCCCGCTTTGATCGTTGCCATTTTCTTATATTTTCCACCCAAAAAATTTGCTGTGCACGCACTAATTTATCGATTGGTATTGCCATCTACGACAAGCATGTCAACGTGCAGCTCACGGATTATCGCTAACAATTTCTAGGGGCTTGTAAAAAAAGATTGCATGTCGTGTAAATATTTATTTTGTTTTTTGTGTGGGTCATTTTCAAATAAATTCATCAGCATATTATTCGTTTTAAATAAATATATAACTTTTATGAGAAACGATGATTATCAAAGAACCGTAAGTGCAACTAATGTTTTATCATTTGGTTGAGCCTTTTACTAACCACGTGTTTCATGGTAATAAATATTTTCTTTCGTGTTTTGAATTGGCCTATTTCTAATAAATTATTCCAAGTCCCAAACGTCGTATACCCGAGTCCCAAACGACGTATACCCAAGTCCCAAACGTCGTAAACCCGAGTCCCAAATGTCAGGGTCATATTTTTTTGAGTCCCAAATGACGCGAGTCCCAAATGACGTGAGTCCCAAATGACATGTAATCGTAAACAATAAAGATCACGACTTTCGGTTATCAACATCGATTTGGGATATTGTTACGTGTAATTTAGCTAAGAGATTTGTTCTTAAATTCTTTTCAATCTATTTTAGAGTAAATAAAGCGGATATAATTATTGGCATGTGTTCCAAATACTCTTAAAATGCGTAGCGATAAACTAAACAAATAGCGATAAACTAAACAAATAGCGACCAATTTACGGCAGCAATGGCTGACATTTTCGTTTGCGCGCGTACATACAGCATCTAATACAATACTTCGAATGTAACACAACCTGGAACTTTAATTTCAAGATGGGAATACGTCTCGCCAATTCTGACTTACGCGGAACACTCTCTCGAATAAATGTAAAAGCAGATTGACGGAATCACGGGAGAAAAAAATCTCGGACATTGAGAGGATAATTGCCATGGGGGGCATGATTAAATCGATACCAATATTTAGTCGTTGTGCAAAACAAATTTTTTACACCCCCCCCCCTCTATTCCTAATGTAGAAATACTATAGTATCTAATAAGCACACCAATTATCTTACATGAAACAATATTGAAAAAACTCTCGGAATAGGGAACACACGTCACAAGGATATTTTTAAAATCATGCTAAGTTAAAACATATTCAATTTTGGTTTAATTACATAAATAATTTTAGATATGGTATAAAACGGCTGTCGAGATGGTTTGTTGAAACACAATATTACCGTGTTTTCTATCGTAGAATTCTGTGATTTACCGAGTGAATTAAACCATGTCGCTGATCGTTTATTTTCGGTGAAGTACATGTATAGCTATACCTTGTTATAAATCAGTTACAGTGTTGGGCCTTTTCATTTACTTGACGGCTATTTCGAAATTAAAACAGAAATAAACACATTTTTCAAACAGGTGCAGGTGCCTACGTGTGAAGATTGGCGTACACGTTTCTTTGATCTGTTATATCATGGACCGTATATACGGTTATATCACAGGGTAATACTGTTATTTAAACCCGGGCATTGTCATTTGGTCTTCTTTTAAACAGAAATATGCCCATACATATGCCCATACATTATTACTTCATTAATATGTTAGACATTTGTAAGACTTGTATCGATAGACTATTACAAATTCAATCAAATTACGGAAAAATTATAAAATGCACACCTATATATGCTAGTCTTACCGGGGGCATAGTGTTATCCATCTAAATAGTAATTCACATACTGACAAATAAGTCACACATGGCATCTACATTAATATCGGTAAATCACACCTCAATTAATATATCTTTTCTGGTTTAAATCACAAATGAACTGAAAGCCGTCGTCTCCTGATATGTATTGTAATCACACAACGCCAGAATTCACCATCAACAAGTTTATGAAACTTTGCTGAATACATGTACATGGAAACATATCAGTCCGATAATACATTGCTGACTTTTTCATTTCGGCACCAAAGAGTCTTTTGGATGCATACTGTCAATCAAGGTTCCATAATGAGAATTGACACGTGACATCAAAAGTAACTGATTGACAGAACATAGGTGCCCCTTTAACAACAAACTCTTACCTTGTTGTAGTCGTGTGGACAATATGACTTTTATTGTTTATTGTCAGTAGTAATAATTACACATTTTCAGAAGAGACGTTGATGTATTTTTGATTATACATGTAGCCTCCAGTCCATTCAATAACCTGTATTTATTACTCAAATGGTTTCTCAATTAGCACAATGTAAAAATAAAGAAAATACACCCGACCCGCAACATGTACATGTAATACCAATTTGTAACGAGTGATTACTGTGTTACGGTAAAACTCGTGTTTTAGGAATGTGGAT